CCTTGGTTTTAGCAGTTTCAGCTGACTTAGCCTACCTGGCTTTGGTACTGGAGGAGGGGATAACAAAGGACACTTGTGAGATACTTGTACCACTCTGGCAGGGTTATTGCTGCATCTACAGTAGGAGCCTTTTGCTTCTCCTAAAGCCATTTTCATCTCCCCTAGCCCTGACTGTGGTTGTCAGGTAGCGTTGCAAGTTGTTTGTCACCAGTAGTAAAACTCTAGGAGCACGTATTCATTCAGGAACCATTTATTGAGCTCCTTCTGTGTGTTAGAAATACCACAGGATTAAAGTTTCAACTATGGGGAAATACGTGAAAGTTCTTTTAATTTTCCTTTTTTTCTATCCTGATTTAAATTTGTGATTTTTTACAATCACAGAACAAATAGCTTTAGGTTTTACAACTTATGAAAACTATCCTTTGAGGAATTCTATCATATCTTGGTTATGAATTTTATTTTTGCTGCAAAGATGGGAGAAATTTACTGTTTCCTTCCTACATTCCCTGCTCCTCTCTCCCTTTTGAGCACTGGTGGGGAAGATGCCCTTAGACCTCAGGTATTCCCAAGCCTGACTTCCAGCAGATATACTTGTGGCAAGGCCCAGCCTACTGGACAGCCCACTCCTGTAATGCAGAGAGGCCTCTTAGGCCCTTAGCTTGGCTGTGGCAGACCACAACTGTCACCTCCTCCTCAGTCAGAGCCAGACGAACCAGAGGAGGAAATGGGCCAAACTTGGCAGGCTGGTGCATCCTCTGCCCCTACAGGGGTTTATTTCTAAAGTGGTTTCATTCTAGCACCACATCTGTGACTTCTAAAGGCCACTGGAGAGCTGAGAATTGGCCACAGGCCAGGAACGTAGGTGTCACTGGCCTTAATGACCTTGTGTTGACTGGGATTGAGATAGGGCTGGGGTGAGATTCAGGAGAGAGAATGTCAGAAATACCTAGGCATAGGTGGCTAAGTAAATATGAAGGTTTCTGTCCCCGAAGGCCTTGATGGGTGGGTGCTTTTCCAGAGACCACACTCACCCAGCCATACTCCCTTACACGTGTGCACAGACTCAAACCTGCACACACAACACCAAGTGTTCCTGGCCCTGTGTGGATGCTGCACCCCTTTCCCCCTCTGTTCTCCCGGGAACTCCTACTTCTCACTTCTCCCCACCCCCACAACACCACCATGGTAGTCCTCACACCTAACCCCAAAGTCCAGCCTTTCCACCAGCCCCAGCCTCTCTAGATTAGAGCTCTCTGGGGACCAGGACCTTTTGAAAGGAAGAAAGAAAGAAAAAAAGGAGGAAAAACAGAAAGAAAGTGGGAAACAGAAGAAAAACCGGGAAGGGGCAGTGGTGCCTTGAGCTATCTCACTGCATTACAATGAATATGGACTCTATTAAGCTCCGTTCTGCCTGTTAGTGTTTCCCGGGGCAACACAGCCCCCATATGGCAAGCATGCAGCAGATTAGGGTAGGCCCCAGGGCCGCATTGAAGGCCAGTGGCTTGACTGGCAGTTGAACCCCCTCCCCACCTCCCCCTACTCCTCACACTTGACACTGCTTGTGTTTATCTAAAGCAAGGAGGGGGGGCCATTTGAAAGGTTTTTGTCCTGGCTCAGAGAAGAGAGAGGAGGAGGCTGGAGGCAGGGTGGACAGAGGGAGGTTGAGGGAGGAAGAAGGGTGGAGGTGGGGTAGAAAGGGGAGAGGCGAGAAGGGAAGGCTTCATAAATATTCAAGAGGAGCTCTGAATGAAGAGAGAGAAATAAAGCAGATGGAATTCGTGTTAAAGAACAGCACAATCACCCTGTTTTGAGCCCTCCAAAAACAAAACAAAAAAAAAGAGAACGGCCTTCTAGGAGTGTAGGAGCTGCGTTTATCCAATTAGCAGGGTTGTCAAATTGAATTTATATGGAACAGAGGTGGGGAATTGAGCCCGGAGTGTAGAAGAAAGGAAGTGGTTTTCCTTTTCTTTCAGTTTTCCAGTTTAGCAATAAAGCCCCTCACACCATGGGTAGATTTGTAGATTTTTTTTAAAAAAATCTTTTAAAAGAAATGAGGTCATTTTGGGGAAGGGGTATGAGTGACAAAACTCCCCAGTAACTTTTTCCTCCAGTGCTGGAGTTGGGAGAGGATTAGACGTGTTTTACCAAAAGCTCAATGGGCAAATCAAGAGATAAGACCCCTTCTCCTTGACTGAGATGGCAGAGGTGGCTTCTCTCTGTGGGGGGCTCCTCCCCAAGGAAAGATGCTCTATCCTGGCTCCTTTGCTTTCTGCTTGCCTTGATGGTGAGTGGAAATAGGCTCTGTTTGTTAGCACCTTGTTATAAATTCTGGGTTCAGGGAGAGGAACCCAGGTTTTGCTAAACTCCCCAAAATGCCACTTTGATTATATATTCCCATGCTCACAAACCATCATTAACTCCTCTCCTTCTGTGGTATTTTAAACTCTTTTCTCTGGTCTTCCACAGTAAGACCCAATCTCAGCGTCCTACCTTGTCTCTTTTCATTCTTCTGGGTAAGTCTCCAAAGTGGGGTGCAAGTGCCAAGGGGAAAAAATATAAGCAATTCTGTTGGAGCACTGTAAGATAATAGTAGAGATTCCTTTAATGTTTTTTCTACCTAAAAAAGGAATAGGAAAGAAATTCAGCTTTGCTAATATTTAATATAGGGGTTGGCAGTGGCGCATTCGGTCTGTACATTAGGCTGTCATGTGTCACAACAGTGTCCCAGGCATCTCCATGGGTAAACGGCTTGACAGTGTGGAGGCCTCACTCGTCCATTCACTCCCCCAGTTTTCCTGTTCTCCCTTAAGTGGATTTACAGATTATATTATTTAGTTTAACTAAATTAACTCTCACAAAAGGACAAGTGGCTTAAAGAGATTGCTACAAAGAAACTGGGTTGAAGAGAAGGCTGATAATCCAAGCACATGCAAACAGGAAGAAAACAGCAGAGCTGACCCTTTTCAAGTCACAGGAGGGAGTAAAAACAATGATAATGGAATCACTTCTGATGAGAAGTCAACAAAATAATTAACAGTCAAGCAGACTATTTGAAAGAGATTACACCCATATCATTAGCGATGATACTAATCCTAAATAGGCGTTCTGCCTTAAGGTATTAGCTAATCATATTTTAAGACAGTCATGGTTAGGGAGTTATTAAAATATGGTTTCATTTTTACCTACTCTTTTTAACATTTTAGTTCTGCAGTACATGTATTTATAAGTAAAGAAGTATGCACATATTAGGGATGTTTGCCCAGAACATTTCACTCAGGTGGTCGTAGAATTAGGGAAGTTTGGAGACCACTGTTACAGATAAAGCCAACTGCTTGGCACACCACCCTCACCACCCTGCAAACACAAGACTAGCTTTCCCACCAGGTCAGTATCACCTTCCTGCTGTGCCCTCATCCCCCTTGCTTGTATATACCTCAAGAGGCCCAGTTTCAAATCCTATTTCCAGAACACCTTCCCTTAAGATCTGAACTGAAAACTCTCTTCTGCCTCTGCTCTCATTTGCCACTTCACATTGGTGACTAAATTGATCAGTGAACGTATTAAAGAATGCTAAAGCTGTTACAGGAGAATAATCACAAAATGTCAGTGGTTATGTGCAACAAGGGTTTATTTCTTCTCATGTCACATCTTGAGCTAATTGCTTGGATCTTATAGCTAGCTGTGCTTTCTGAACCATGTGACATATGGTCACCAGACTGGCGAGGCAAAGATGGAAGCAGCTGTCAATCTCTTAACCGCCATGGCCCAGTAGTGACATGTGAAGTTCACTTACACATGTTCATTGGCCAGCACTAGTCACATGGCCCTAAGCTCACTGCAGAGGAGGCTAGGAAATGAAGAGGAGCTTGTGGATATTTGCTGGGTGCTAGTGGATTTATGTCCCAAATATTGCTTTAAGCGCCTAAGGACTGAATCCATTTTCTAGTACTCACAGTACCTTGCATATTGTGTTGTATGTGGTAGAGTATAGCAATATTTTTTCTTCCCAATAATATTAATAATTAAAAGTCAAGGCACACATCGTTTGTTCATGGAAGACTCATTCACAAAATTTGGATGAGGAATAAGGTAAAATATAGTTAGAGGCTGGCTAGAGCATGACTCATACTTAAAAACATAAAACCATTGTTTTTTTCTCCCCTATTTGACGTCAGAGTGTTCTAGACATTAGTCTGGAACTGTGCTGTCTAATGGGGCAACCACTAGCTCTATATGGCTATTTAAATTAAATTTAAAGAGAATTAAAACTTCAGTGTCTTCGTCACATTAGCCACATTTTGAGAATTTAGTAGCCCTGAGTGGCTAGTAGTTATCTAATGCTTTAGACAGCACAAATATAGGAAATTTCCATCATTGCAGAAAATTCTACAGAAGGGGCTTGTGCAATGAACAGTAGGAGATTTTTATAGATTAGAATGTAGATGACAAAAGGATAAAAATGATCACACAGAAAGTTACTGTTATAGACAATGATCCAGGTGACATTATTCTTATGTATAAGGAAGTAAATTCAGAAACATTCTAAAATTGGCTTTGAAACCGTTTCTAGCCAGTTGGTTAATGTGGCTCCAGAAACAATTTGCTAGGAGGTAGTGTTAAGATAGTAAAAGGAGCACTGGACTAGGAGTGAAAAGACCTGACTTGTAGCCCTAAGTCTCCCTTCTGAATTAGCTGGGAGACCTTCTACAAATCACTTAGACTCATTCAGCCTTGACACGTCATTCATAACACCCAAAACACGTTAGGCGTTACTCTGGGATACTTTTTTATTTTCTCTGAGGTCCCTCCGAATTAAAAAAAAATTTTTTTTAATTAGGTCTATGTGTCAAGTACAACTTTTTAAGTAAAAATGACCTTTGTTTTTTGTATCTATTTAAAGGTATACAACCTGATGTTTTGATAAGCTTTCTTTCTTTTTTTTAAAGACAGAGTCTTGCTCTGTTGCCCAGGCTGGAGTGCAGTGCAATGCCTGTCATAGCTCACTGCAACCTCAAACTCCTGGACTCAAGTGATACTCCTACCTCAGCCTCCTCAGTAAACCTTTCTTTCTTAATTCCTTCTCCTAAGTCTATCTAAACTCACATATTCAGCCCTCTGAAAACTAAATTCATTTATTTCCCCAATATTTGCCTCAATGCCTCTCTTCTGTGCAGGGGTACTACCCTCTTTCTTGAGATAGGGGGCTGCCAACACTTGCACCCCGGACACTTGGCATCACCTTCTAGGAGCAAAGCTTTCCCTTCTTTTAAGACAATTGGGAAAGGTGATTCTTACTCTACAAAATTGGGAGCATGCAAAAAAAAAAAAAAAAAAAGTAACTTGGAGCAGGAATTTTTTCTTTTTCATGTAGCTAGTCCCTCTCAACCAATGGAACAAAAGACTTTGTCAGATCGTATTCTTGCCACTAGAAGAATGTTTTTAAGAAAGTCTCTTTGTGCTATCTGCTACATCACACTCTCTCCTATTCAGCTCACCTTTGTTATCGGTCTTGGGACATCCAAAGGGCATGTTTTGTGTTTTAGATCATAGAAGCTTCCCTTTCTGAGACAGCTGCCTTGGCATGGGTGTCCGGGGGATGAGCCGGCGGCTTTTTTGTGGTGTTGTCTCACTCTTGGTCCAGTTAGTCAGCCAGCCCTCTTGGGAGGAAGTGGAGCTGGCCTCCTCCTGATGATGATCGACTCTCAGTTGTTTGTAATTTTCTCAAAAAATAAATACTCTGAGGCTACAGTTTCTCAGGATTGGTCTTAACCCCAGAGTGTGTTTTGTTGTTGTTGTTTTTGGAAAGTTTCAAAAACATCTGTTTGGAAGAGATTATTTCAGTGGAGAACATGTATGTCAGCAGTTAAATGTCTCAGACCCATTTTCTTTCTTTTCTTGTGTGTCCAAATAACCCTTTAAACTGTCAAGTACCTAGACCTCAATGAGGAATCAAATGATTTTGATATTTTTTTTCTTGATTTCTCCCCTTTTTCTCAGAAAATGCCTGAGGAAAATAAGAAGGGATCTAGATATATTTTGCATTGCCAAGAAAAATAATAGGCCTTACTGTTGCCTTCACCCAACTTTGAAATTGTACTTTGTTCATTTCACAATGGGACAACGTTATACTGCAGTTAGGTTCTCCAGCTTAAGCCTTACTTGCCTTTTTTCCCTGAACATTAAAATAAAGTTCTCAGATAACTGAAATTTCTAGAATTATCTTTCTAAACCTAACTCACTAGGTAACTTGGTTCAAAAAGTAACTCACTTTCCCCAGATAGTAAATAAAATACATCATACTTCCAGTGACCAAGCCCCCACCCTTCCCCAAACATAGCCATATTTTTTGGTCATAGTTCTGCTTTTACATGAATGAGACCCCACGCATCCTGTTTTGGGGTCCTTAAAATGGTACTTCTTACAACTCTGTTGTGGGGATTAATTGGTTAACTCCATTCTCCCTCTCTGGATACCTGCACCTTCTCACTCCCTCTCACTCCCAATTCTTTTCTCCTTGTTGTTTTTGAAAGCAGGATGGTGGCTGGCAGCAGCAACAGGATCTGTTTCCATTTTGAACCTTATAAATTACCGAGGTGCAGAAGTAACAGGAATTGTTTGGCTGCTGCTCGTTAAGCAGGAGGGGGTCTGGGCTGAATTTCCTCAGTAAAATCTTTGTTGCTTTTACAACCCAAACACCTTTGTAGCCACACAGTACTCAGATAAGAAACAACCCTCCCATTCCTCTTTGTCTGCTTGTCCTCTTTTGCCCTTCATTACTTTATGTTCATTTTCTGTCTCCCTACCGCCCTTCTACCCTCTCTTCCTCCCTCCCTTCCTTCCCTCCTTGGGGCATGGAAGGAACATTTGCTCTCAATTTCCTTAAGGGGCTGGGGAAATTGGGGCATGACTTGAACAAGCTAGTTCCCTAAAATCCCATAACTGGGAACTCATGCAATGATCTATATAAATACCTTATCTCAGTGGGGAAAAACAAATTAGAGAAGTAAAGCAAGTATCTGGAAAATTGAGAGGAAACCAAAAGCTTACTTTTCAGTGTAAATTTTCCCTCTAGAAATCACTATTAAAATGCCCCACTGTTCTACATCAACTCTGTTTGCTAAACACCCACTGGGTACAGAGCCCTGACAGGGGGAAAAAATGGGAAAAAGGCTACTATTGTGATTAAAAGCACAGAGTTTTGGAATCAGCCCAAACTGGGTTTCAATGCAGGCCTACTGTTAGGCGATCCTGGGCAAGTTAACTTCTGGAACTCAATTTTCTCACCTGTAAAATGGGAATATAGTCCTCGCCTTACAGGGTTGATGAGAAGGTTAAAGGAAATACGTTGTATAAGAGCTTAGTGAGTTCCTGGAGTAGTGGCAGGCACCGCCAGCTCTCCACCACCACAGCCCCTCCCATTTGTACTCACATCCTTTGCAGCTTTCATGAATTTTACTTTGCCAATAATATGACCCTTTGATTTACTGGATTGTTTGAAAAAGAGCAAAAGCTCTCTCTCTACACCAACGGGAAATTATCTTAACTTGCTAGGAAATAACTTTTGAAAAACTTGTTTAAAAATGTTCTTTCAAATCCCTTTTAGAAAATGTCTCCTTGTCCTATCCCAGAGTAGTCCTGAAGTCTTGTGAGTCCTCTGATGTCGAAGTCGTGGGCAAATGGAGGAAATACGAACCACTGGGAAAGAACTCTTGGAAAACATGCTGAGCATCCACAGAATGCTAGGGGCTGGGGTCCTCCATCTGGTTTGAAAGGGTGCTCATTGAGCAGTGTGGATATGGCCCTCTTCACTCCCTCAGCAGCCAGGCAGAAAGCCAAAGGACTACAGGTCTTGGGGAAGGGAAAGGTTTAGGCTAATCCCAAGCACTTCCCAACACAGAGCAACAGTCCCCTGTGTCAGGCATGTTGGGTGTCTCCCGTTTCTTACAGCAGTCTCTGTGGGCAGCCTGAACTCCAGGACTGGCCAGCACAACACATCTCTCAGTTGAGAAGCTTAACTGCTTCTCCTGAGTTTTAAATGGTGACTGTAAATCTTTGAGAGAGTCTCTGGTTAGGTAGATTGATCTAGAAGAGTTAATGTTTTAAATGTATGTCACACTTCTAGAAATATACTATTAATATTGCCACAGGCGAATGATCCACTGTGCAGATCACTGGAATGTCACCTTCAACATTATCCAAACTCATTTCAATGCCTCCCTGCCTAATAAGGCTGTTGATAACCCATCCTTGTTTGTTAATGTCCTATAAACCCATCAATGAAAAGCACAGAAGCAAAAATCTTGGGTTTGGCTGTAACAGAAGAGAGAGAGAGAGAGAGAGAGAGAGAGAGTGTGTGTATGTGTGTGTGTGTGTGTGTGCGTGTGTGTGTGTTAGAATATACACTTGCCCATGTGATTTTGATAAATCTTGTAAGGACCATAGCTTAAGAAAGACATAAAAAAAACTGTGCCTTCTGGAACAGGAGATGCTACTGTTCTAGGCAGAGAGGGTGGCTGATAGCTGAGGTGTGTTGTCAGATGGCTGGAGGTGCAGTGTGGTCTGAGCCTCAAAGCAGTGTTGTTCTGGGTGGAGATACAACTTGGGTAATCAAGAGTGCAGATTTTGTGGAGACGGAAAAGTTCAAAATTTCTAGCACTAGGAGCAGAGAGAAGTGGGAGCTAGTGAGTGAAGCGAAAACAAGGCTCTGTGCCCTGAGAAAGTGAAGTATCTTGGCTGGCTTATGACTTTGGGCTGTGTTTGTACCTGTGGGAGTAGATGTTACAGACAAGCTGAGTAGAGTAGGGTGATTGCAGGAATAAAAGGGAGTTTACAGGGATATAGGCATAGAGCTGGGGTGAGGAAAATTAGAGCAGGAAATATTTCATGAGTCACTGAGACTCTAGGATTCATTCACTTAGTAGCATTCCCTGCAAGGGCATTCAGTATGCATCACACACCCGGCACTGCTGTTCCACAATAGTCAGCACTAACCACATGGCAGGGCACATGGCTGTGACCAGCTGGCCTTTTGCAAGCAAACGGTAAGAATAATCTCATCTGTTCTAGCATCTGTGCCAGATAGTCACTGTCCTGTGCCATGGATATGGCTGCAGGCTACGCCTCTCTGTATCCTCTGCCCCTCATCCTTGTTGCTGTCCATCCACTGGGCAAAACTCCAGCATTCTTACTACAATAAAATCACCTTCTAGCTAGAGAAAGAGCTCAAGGAGGCAACTTATAAGAAGCTTCTTTTAGATGAGAAATGGCATGATAGTGTTCTTTGGTCTTCCAGCAGCATGACCAGGTCTCTATTTTGAATGTTGCCAACAGGGAACAAGGGACAAAGCCAGGCCCCATGGCCACTACAGGTGCACCCCAGGCATCCTCATCATGGCCATTGCTCTCCCTTTCTCTCTTACAACAGAGTGTTGCCGGGGACGGCAGTATCTCTTTGTGTGACCCTGGCGGCTTATGGAACGTTGGCTTCAGACCTTTGTGATACACCATGCTGCGTGGGACAATGACGGCGTGGAGAGGAACAAGGCCTGAGGTCACACTGGCTTGCCTCCTCTTAGCCACAGCAGGCTGCTTTGCTGACTTGAGTGAGTGCTTTCCTTCCCTTTCCCTGCCCTTACAGTCAAATGGAAACATTCCACATTCTACAATAACTCTTTAAAAAGGCCTTCTTTACCTGGATTTCGAAGAACACTTGATTCCCATTGGCCTTCAGGGACACAAGAATACAAGATGAGACATGATCCCAGCAACATCATATTGGTTATAGTTTGGTATTTGACTCATTTCAAAGCTATACCAGAGGAGGAGGAGAAGTAATAATAATAACTGCTTTTTGTTGTGCACTTACTGTACAATGTCATGGCAGGCAATTTACACATATTGTTTGCAAGCCTCATGACAACCTTGTGAGACAAGCAATATTAGCTTCATTTTACAGATAAGAAACTGACACTTCAAAAGGCTAGAGTCATATGGCTCAGAAGTAGTGGCACTGGGATCAGACTCAGGTCTGTCCAAACGCAAAGCCCAAGCTCTTGCCTTTACAATACATTCTCACTCCACATCTACTCTCTGGAAACAAAGGCAGGTTGGGAAATGGACAAGAGCAGTAGAGTCGGAGAAAGACCAGCTTCTCTGGTGACCACTTCTGGAAGACTTCCTGGGTGCAATGCTTCTAAAAACGTGATGTTGTTTTCTTGGGGGCATCAGTTCATTGCTGCATCCCTGTTCTTCCTCCAGACGAGGTCCCTCAGGTCACCGTCCAGCCTGCATCCACCGTCCAGAAGCCCGGAGGCACTGTGATCCTGGGCTGTGTCGTGGAGCCCCCAAGGATGAATGTAACCTGGCGCCTGAATGGGAAGGAGCTGAATGGCTCGGATGATGCTCTGGGTGTCCTCATCACCCACGGGACCCTCGTCATCACTGCCCTTAACAACCACACTGTGGGACGGTACCAGTGTGTGGCCCGGATGCCTGCGGGGGCTGTGGCCAGCGTGCCAGCCACTGTGACACTAGCCAGTGAGTCTGCTCCTTTGCCTCCCTGCCATGGTGCAGTCCCTCCTCGTCTCTTCCCACCCTGAAGCCCCCACCATCCATGCTGCCTCTTGTTAGTCTCAGCATAAAATGGTCCTTAACTGCTGAAATGTCAAATCAGAACGGTAGCTGCCTAGTAATGCCCAGTCATGGGGGACCCTTGTGCCCTTGGAAAACCTCACTCCAAGTAGAGGCTGTATCTGGAGTGAGTGTCTACAGAGAGGGGAATTGGTCAGTGCTCTTGACATGGCAGAACTGTTCCCTGGGCCCCAGAGCAGGGCCATGCCGTGCCTTCCTACTTGGTCATCTGTGGCTGCAGGTGCACTGTCCCAACTGCCCATGCCCCTTCCAGTCCCCTCCCTCCATTCTCACGATAGTTATACAGTTGGAGCAGGGAGAGACAAGACACCGACACCGAGAGACATGGGCAGGGCCATGTGTAGTGTGGACAGAGCCCACCCAGCCCAGACTTGGCCCTCTGTCTCTCTGTGAGGGGCAAGCATAGTCCAAAGGCCTGGAATATAAATACTAGAACATAATGAAAAGGAAACTGTGTGGCAGAGGGATAAAGGGATACAGAGAAAAGAAACAAGGAAGAGATGAGGTGACAGTTTGGACCAAGGAAAATGCCAGGAGAAGACTTCATACTACCTTTTCTTTTTCTGGTTTTGCCATTCTTTTATTCATGTTGTTATGCTCAGTATAGGATAGTTTATTAAAACCATTATGTCTGTAGACATTCTATTTGTGATATAGAAATTGTGTTATCTCTGACCGATAATTTTTCCTATTATGTGACAAAGAACATAGGTCCTCAGACCAACATGTGGAAACCTAGGGCCAAATGGCTTCTAAGGTCCCTCCCAACTGAATAATTCCGGTAAATTCCATTTCCATGCACTCACTGATGGATCGTCCTCATGGCCACTCTTATTTCTTTTATGCTTGTGAAAGGTGTAGTTTTTACAAAATTACTTGAGTGTGTATTATAAAGATTCAACAGAGCAAAGTAAAGGCCAAGTGACTTGACATAGTCATAGCTGGTAAGGAGGAGCCTTACCAAGACAGGTGTTTCTAGTTGCCATTATACTTATTCTACCTTACGAGGACCCATTCTATGAGGCTAGATGGAAGTGAGTAAATAGACGTCCTACCGTTGCATATGACTGCCACTTGGTGTGCTGTGTTCCAGACACAACACATGTACTATGATTTTCTACCCATTGTATGTATGGGCACATGAGACGTGATGGATTCAACACACCACTGAAGACTGGAGAGCACCCCTGATACCCATTCTTATATGCTGAGCCTGCGGCCAGGAAACTTAAAGAACTGCCTCCAATTTGGCCCCTTTCCTGGCGCCTGAGGTGTAGAAAATAGGGAAACTTGTTGAGACTTGAATGGTATTTGGATTTAAACTTTGAGAAGATTTCCAGGGCTTGTTCCCTCATGACTCAGCAGCACCCCCTTATCCCTGAAAGCCCTGCTTTGGGCGTCCACGTCGCCATCATCATCATCATCATCATCACCCTTGTGGATGGCGTGCTTCCAGGAGGTTCGCAGTGCTGCATCATGGGGCTTACCTAAGGCAGCAAACTTTTGAAATGCCCCTCTATCCAAGGCAGTTGGGTTCCCTGGGGTGTGTGAAGCTTGAGTCCCAGGAGGGAGGGTAGGGAGGGATGGAGAAGCAGTAAGGGAATGGAGGAAAGCCCCTATGTGCCCTCCGGTCCCCAGATCTCTGGAGGAGCTTCACTCTATGGGTCAGCGGAATGGAGGCTATCAGGATTCCTCTTTTCTTGGGAAAGTCAAACAGCCCTGCCCTTTACTCAGAGGCAAGGCAGAGTGTGTCCTCAGCTGTCTCCCTGAGGAGCCAGGCTGACACTGGGCTGCATCTCGGAGCACCCCCTCACAATGGAGCCACTCCTCTTTGTGGCAGAAGGAGCACCCATGGAATCTGAGTGCCCGGCCTCTGGGAAGCAGCCCGTGAGTGCTCAGGGAAGGAGGAGGCCTTCCCTTCCAGCTGTGCTTGTTGGGCGGGGGCTGCTCTGAGGCTTGGGTGAGGAAGGTAGATGGTGCAGAGGTAGGTCATCTCATCAAGTCAAGAAGGGCTGAGGTCAGAACTACGTTTCCTATCATTGTACCCTTCCCACCTCCACTTTCATATTTTCACATTGTAATTGCATTATAGAATGTTTAGGATATATAGAAAATAATCTCTCCTAAGCCTGCTATCTTCATATAACCACCGCTATCATTTTGGAGTATGCCCTTCCAGTCTTTGTCCCTCCTCATGTTTTTATTTTGTGATGATACAACAAATATACAGGTTCTTTTCTCTCTCTTGATGTTGTATGATAAGCATTCTCCATTGGCCATATGACCATGTTTACTTTTTTATTGAGTATAAAATGCATACAAGGCCTGGCACATAGAGATCAGAGATAATTATTACAATATGGCTTACACCTGTAATCCTAGCGCTTTGGGAGTCTGAAGCAGGAGGATCATTTGAGGTCGGGATTTTGAGACCAGCCTAGGAACAAAAATTAAAAAAAAAAAAAAAAAGAAAGAAAGAAATAGCCAGGCATGGTGGCGTGCACTTGTATTGCTAGCTGTCTCGGAGGTGGGAGGACTGCTTGAGCCCAAGAGGCCAAGGCTGGGGTGAGCAAGCCTCTTACAAATGTGATGTGTTTCCAAAAAAACAAATAAATAAAATGCATACAGTAAAGTACACAAAGTGTACTAATCTTAAGTGAACAACTGATACAACTGATACATTTTTCATGTGTGTCCATCCATGTAACCATCCCCTACATCCCCTCATCCCCCTTCCTAGTTAATCCACCCTCCCAGCCCCTGTCAGTTCTTATGATCGTAATTACTAATGGTCCTAGAACATCTACCAGAATTCTACCCTTTTCCTGTTGCTGCGCAATTAGGGCGCCTCCAGTTGTTGATTATTACAAATGAGATGTGCCTTTTAGCAACGCGTGTGCCCTTAAAGAGCAACACTGCTCATCCAACAGGGAGGTTTTATCTGCAAATGGGCAGCACAAGGCTGTGGAGACTCAAGACCATAACCATTCATTTGGCCTAATTAGGAGCCAGGCTGAACCTTTTATTGTTTGGGAGAGGGAGAATTGGAGAGTGGAAGATTTATCTTGGAGCCCTGCTTCTGCTTCAAGGTGTATCTGTGTGAGGAGAGACAATTTATTAGCCTTCATTCTAAGAATATTCCTGGCCGCTTCTTTCTCTGGTGCTTGAGGGGATCTGTGGTTGGCAGAAAGGACAAAGGGAAGTGTTTGGTTGCAACCCAAGAAGGCACAGTGAGAGAAGAAGGGGCTTGTGCAGAAGCCGAGCTGGGCTTATTTGAAAGCCAAGAACTACTGGCTTGTCATTTAGACATGAATCAAAAGGCGAAATGTTTGGGCCTGACTAGAAAGAAGAAGTGCTGAAAGTTGAGAGAGCAGGCATGGGGGGCTGTGTCATGGAAAAGAGGGAGCTGGTGGAGTGGAACTGCAAAGCTTGCAGGAGGCAGTGACGAGGTGGCGGGCAGGCGGGTGGGGGCAAGTGAAAGGGGTGCTGTCTTTGGGTTAATGCCATTGGGGGATCTGGCCCAGACGCAGCAGTAGATTAAGTTTCTGAAAGCACATTCCTGAGCAGAATAGGGGCTGTGTTTTGCTGGTTGGCTGATGTATGAGGGAGGCCAAGTGGTAGACGGGATTACCGAAGGCACGGTCTGCATTTAGAGGAAAGACTGGGCAGCGGCTTGCCGGTGCACACACATGCACACCCACACACACTCAGCATGGTAGGCTTCCTTTTCCTCTGGCCTCGTCTCCATGCTTTCTCATGTTCATCTTCGCACAAAGCAGTTGCTGTCTGGCCTACCTGGCAAGATGCTGCCTCCTCCATCCAGCCTCTAGAAATCACTGGGAGCTATAGGTCATGGGGCCTAGGACCAGGCTGGAGGATTCAGGGGTGGGGAGGAGGCCTCTAGCAGAGTAATTTTCTTCACCCTGACCAGGTGACATCATCTTTTGATTTTCAGTAAAATGGAGTCAGAAGTTGAATCACCTGAAGAGTCTCAGCTTTGCTGTCTCCCTCCCTCCACCCCGGGTTGTCCGGGCCGTGTGGGTAATGGCTGCTGCATGCTCTGTGGTGATGCCCATCTCGCTCTCCTCTGTGAAGGGTTTTTTATTTCCTATTTAACCTAAACTTTTTAAAAAAATAAATCTCTCTTGCTACTAATGCCCCGCTTCAGATCATCTTGTCTAATTCTTGGTTTTTGAAATGCTTTTAACTTTGAACTCCTTCCTTTCACTTCCCTTTCCCTTTTTACAAGCCTCACAGCAGGCAGCCAACCGCTCTACACAGCTCAGCTCCGCTCCTGAACCAACCGCAGACCCTGCCACCTGCCAGGGAGCACTTCACTCCTTCGTACTGGACTCTGAGTTCCACCTCAGGCCTGTTCTCAACACAGCATGGCAAGGAGTCACAACCGACTCATCAGAGCTGGCAATGGGAGAGCTGTTCTCAATCCCTTACTTCTAACAGTCAACCATTAATAATTATTTATTTTTAACCTTTAAAATTTTTTGATAATTTTATTCTCCCATCATCCCTGGTAGCTGGAAATAAAACAGGTGGTAACTAGGTAGCTACCTATAATTCTAAACTTGGGAATTTTAGTCCTCAAGTTAATGTGAAGTCTTAAGTTGCAGCTGGTGTAATTGTGAACAGATCGGTCACCACTCCTTAAGGCCTCCTAGTGCCAAGGCCAGGCATATACTCCTGAATGACCCTGTCTCTGGCATCAGAGATCAGCAGGTGAGGTGGCTGACAAGAAAGGAAGGAGTCCCCCTCGCCACTCATCCTCATGACTCTCTGACTTTGAGAAAATGTCCAAAGTGACCAGGGACTCTTTGTCACCGTAATTTAATTTAACCCACAAATAAAATGAAGAGCCAAACTGGTATAAT